CCAAATATTTGATCGAATATGAATGATCCAGAAATTCCGATTGAAGTAACTCGAATTCTATTTAAGTCAACCAAACATCTTGTTAACTTAAACAGAATTCGGGTTACTTCATCGGAATTTCTGAATCGTTCATATTCGATTTAGTTTATTCAACTAAATATTTTTTTCTGTGTAGGATAAATTCATGTTCATTACTGTGTGATTTAATAAAAGCCAATGGCTTCGCGACGATACACTGAGGAAAAAATACTGGAAAATTTATTTGTGAGATGGAAAGTTCATTTCTGTGAAATAAAATTTATTTTTGTGAAATGAAATTTACTCCTGTGAATAAACTTTATATTCCACAAATAAATTTTCAAGTATTTTTTTCAGTATTTTTTTCAGTATGTGTATGTGGTTTATTACTTTATCTTGCTTTACGTACGAGATATAAATGGATACTAATTCCCGTTTATGTATCTTCTTAATCGTAGACATTCTTATTGCTTTGTCCTCTACATACGATTATTTAAATATAAAGAAATATATATATTGCATATACATATATATCTTATGTTGAAAATTTAAATATCCGTATTTTCAGACCAAAACAATAAAAATATCCAAAATTAGTGTTAGAGCATTAGTATTTTTGTTTTATTATTATCGTATTAAATACTGTTTTTACAATATGATATTTTTTACAAAGAATCAGAGATGCTTCCAGATTATAAATTTCGATATATTTGACGTTCCTCTTTTTTTGCACTAGGTTAATAACAAGAGTATCGATTAAAAGCATGCTCGCCTAAGAGAGACTGAAATGAACACAGGCTCATGACGGAATCTGTTACATCTACTTTTCGCGGACGCGGCGTGCTGTATGAATGAAAAAACGCTACATTTAAATTACAACGGTACCTTCTACGTAAACTTGCAAACAGACACGGCAATCTAAAAGCAGCACTTTGTGGTGCCGAGGATTCCGCCTCTTTTTCGGATTTATGAAAGCCGCGGGTGGGCGACGTGTTAAACGTTTCTCCCCGGGGTTTTATACACGTATTTGTATTACTTTTATCTCGACGGCGGTGTTGTAAAATATACTCGCGCATCAGTTCCTAGATGCAGTCGGATATGCCCGACAAATTTCGTGCCTTGACAAAAATAATAGAAGATCGTATTTCAGTGCGAGAGCTCAAAGTACTTTACAACGGACGTATCTAGATCGCGACAAGAGACACGTCCGCGCGGACACTCCGAAAGTCTAAATCAAGGAGACAATGCCCCTCGCCTGCAACTTTCCTACGCCTGTAACTTTCCCTACGCTTGATAATTTTTCATTATCTCTCGGCATTCATTAAATGAAAACGATTCACTTCTCGCCCATTGTTGAAGTACAAGCCCCGTACTTCGGAGTCGTCATTGGCGTCTAAAGTGGTTATATCGCTAGGTACCGTATCTTCACTGGCACGCTTCGACTCATAAATTTACTATTCATCAAACAAGATTACTTTCCTCTACATTTATTTCACAATATTAATAGTTGTTACTTGAAACTTGTCTTATGTGAGATTCTCAAATTTCTATTCTGAGTTAGTTTTTCAGTTGAATTATATAACATTTATATCTGTAGCTACTCAACTCTGAAAAAATAATTACTAATATGGGCCTAAGTATTACTGTTAATCTGAAACAGAATTGAGGTAAAAATACACATACACATAAAATATTACAGATACGAGAGAAAGCTGTTATTTTTTTATTTTTCTAATGAATACTTTATATTTATGCATTAGTTTAATATAAATACTTAAATATTAGAGCTATAAATATATTAGAATTGTAAATAATATATATAAATATTTAAATATGTGTATATTATGTATATACGCATATTGCGAGTTGCTAAATTATGAACATTCTATCGCTGTATTTTGAAAACAAAATAATCAAGAATTCAGATATTTGTATATAATGTTTATATTTTAGCTTTTAACATCTTAGTAGTATTCCATCAAATTAGGATGTATACGGTTTAATAAACTATTTACTATGATTATATATATATAATAATGCTTTAGTTACAATAATTATAAAATAGTTTATTGAACTATATACATATTATTACTGAACTATATACATTTAACTCTGCGTACAAAACGTGTATAGTTGTCAATTTATAGTTGTCATCACTATGATTTCTTCTCTGGATCTCAAGGGCCATATATAAAAATATCAACTTTAGTTGCAAATATCTCAGTTGTTTATAATTGCACGATAACAGATGGATAATATTTTACTGCTTACTTATGTATAGTGCAAGTTTCATCAAATTCTCACGAAATTCGTTTCACGATACAACCACCTTAAATTAGTTAACCACGCAAATATGCTCGCGAGAGGGCTCCTTTCAAAATCGACCAGTCTGAATGAAACCAAAACCACAAGTGCACGACGAATGAAACATACAGGAAAAACAAAAGACAACACGTGATACGATTCACAGTGCATATACACATACACGGCCAAGCCTCATTCTTTTCATACCCATTCTCTGTGCTCTTCTCGCGATTTTCCTCTCCTGTCCAGCCGCGAGATTTTAAACGCGTATCCCGTACCATCCATTCCAAATGAAAAAAGCGTAACAGAGAATATAACCGCGCAGAACAGGCCTATAAAGTGTGACGAGAGCGTCGTTTGTTATCGCGAGGTCGATGAGTCGCGATACGTCGGCGAGGGCGACGCGACGCCAGCCGCTCCTTCCCCGACAGGGTCGCGTTTTAACGGCGGGTATGGGGGCTCGCAGTCGTTCTCGCGGCCTCCGATTCAACCACCCTCTTCCCCCTTTCTCCCACCCCCGCGCCCCTCGCTTCTCTTTCCACGCTGCGAAACTCCCTCGGCTTGTTAAGCTCGCTAACATCGCGCCACAGGTGGTGACCCCGCATTGTCTCTTCTCCGGCGCGGCCTCATCAACGTCAGCCGCCTTCTATATTACCGAATGGATTATTTACGGGGGTTAATAATACATCGTTCCTCCTTTCGGCTCGACACCGGCACGGCAACGGCGCGCCGTCTCGGCGCACGCAGTCGCGCACGTGTTGCGTTTCTTTTTGTTTTTTTCCCCCCCACGGGACAATCCCTAATGTCTCCCACACGTGTCGCGGCTCAGCGCTGATGGACGAGCGGTATTGTGCGGATTTCGTAGTTATATCGGTTTTTAAATCAGATTCAATCGCCGCGGCACAATCCCCGGAGATTACCTCGGGTTTGCGACGCTGCGGATTTGTATCGCGCGCCCGCCGCATGCTGCCGCTATTGTGCCGGCAGTCGGACGCGGAGCCGAGACCCCGTCGTCGTCGTCGTCGTCGTCGTCAACGGCGCCGGCGCTTCGTAGTTAACGACGTTAGATACTACTCATTGTCTTTGATAGCCTGTTTAGGGGGATAATAACGTCCAATCCCCATATCGTCTCGCGGAAATCTATTGAATCGCATTTGCTCTACAAGCTTATGCCTATCGCGTTACGTTTACTATCGCGCGATCAAGGAAGCTCCTGCGGTGTCTGGGACCGTAACATTGAACGAACGAGCTTTCTCAAGTAGAACTGGAACTCCGCGGTTTCGCTTATCTCCGCACAGGCGGACGTTATACGGCATTATGCTTTGTGCAAACTGCGCGATCGACAATGGCCGGTGGTTCGTCGAAATTAAACAAATGCGCTCGATGTGACGTTCTTTGTACGCGGTTTAGCACAATGACGTACAATCAGGAAGATTGTCCATTGAAGGTCACAAAAAAAAAAACAGGACAACTTTTCCGACGTCAATTTTACAATCTACGTCCGTGATCATTCTAAAATGTCACAAAGGGAAACCTACGATTAGCTTTTTGTGAATCGTTTAGTTATGTGAAGCGCTTTTTTCGCAAATCCATTTACTATAATAATAATATATATTTCCAGATAATCTGAAAATTTTGATCATCTATCTTGACTTCATTGCTACAACAAAATTAGAATAAAGCTATTCATGTTGGTTGTATACTGAGAAGAAAAGAGTGGTTGAGTTAATGGGACTTTGACACATTTTAGTCGATTGAACGAATTGAACAAAGCTGTTGCGATGAGCTACATATATATGAATTGATTCAATGATTACGAGTTGGTCAATAAGACTACATCAACGCGATTATTATTTATTGCTTACTGTTGTACTAACGCGTGATTTCTTTAATAAATTTCTTAGTATTTCTTCGAAAGCCGATTTTGTCGATCCAACTGCTTTTTTCTCAGTATAACTTAAGACATTAGAAATTATGCCAATTATCCTATTTACAGAATATATGGCGATTCTATTATTAGATTAGTGTAATTTTTTCATTGAATACTCCTGGAAAGTTTAGATATCAAGGGAAAAATAACAATAAAAATCGTTAGATGTCTTCAAAAATACCGAATCAGTTCTTCATTTATTCAATCAATCGTTCATCTCATCCGTAAGAATAATTAATTCTTTGAAACTGGATAATTTCGTCTTTTTCATTTTATTTGACAAACACGACTGCTTGTCGTGTCTGTCAATTCAACTGATGCACGAATAGATTGAGATAACTTTGTTTTTACATCTCAGATCAACCAGTGACTCTCAATCACATCATGTGAAGGTGTATTGTTTAGCAATCTTCACTTTAACGCCATCTACATACGACCCACTGGATAATTTACATTATCAAAAATACCATTATATTTCATAAAAATCAATAAATACTTGTGAAACAATCGCGTATTTTAATTGCTTCAATATTTTTCTCTAGAACATTTCTTGAAAACGAGCATTTTTCAGACTCAACAAAGTAGAATATCCCCTTAATGACTGAAATTTGTAACGACGTAGAGTTGGTCAGGAGTAAAATGCAGTCCCGCGGTTACAATCGGCCGCCGGTGATCACCGGAGAATCAAGTAGGCATGCGTGCACCTCCGGCAGACTCGTTAAAGTGGTTTTCCCATCTTCTGTTTCAGGGGAGAAGCCGTACAAGTGCAGCTGGGAGGGCTGCGAGTGGCGATTCGCGCGCTCGGACGAGTTGACGCGCCATTACCGCAAGCACACCGGCGCGAAGCCGTTCAAGTGCCGGCACTGCGACCGATGCTTCTCCCGCAGCGACCATCTAGCTCTCCACATGAAGAGACACCTGTAATCAATCGTCTCCGCGGACGGTCCCGGTCGCGCGTCACACTCGGCCGCGGCCAGGACCGTCGGGACTTCTTCCTCGTGAAGATCGCGGGGATCTTCGACGTCTGCGCGGGGGAATCACGCGATCCAGTATCTTCCGGGGTCACCAGTAGCATGCCGCAAGTAGAAGAGGATCGACCCCGTCGCGTATCTACACTCGACGAACAACCATCACGACCGCAGAGATCTACACAAGTCGCTTCATTAGGGCGATATCCGACGAGAGACGTCGAATTCCGCTCAAATTCGGCGCGAATTCGTCCTCTCGGGAGGGGGATCGCTGTCGTGAAGATCGATGATCAGCGAGACGTCGTACCGAGACGATTGAAGATCGAGTTCGTGTCTAAGACGAGACGCACGGAGGCTATTTTGACGTAACCATGATAACGAGGAAGCTTGACGAGCAATCGGCCGATCGGCCGAGGGGATAATGAGTTGAGCGAGAAGAGTCACGCATTTTCGCGTTGTGAACTAACATCAGATCAGTGTGAAGAGGCAAAAAAACGAGGAAGGAATGAGAGAAAAGAGGAGGGGGGAAGATATATATATATATATATATATATATATATATATAAATACGCGATCGATAACATTCGTCCCTAAGAGCTAAATGTATGGCGCGAAACGAATCTTCGGCCCCGGTAACTCGTGCGAATTTGAGGAGACGGAAACGTCGACGGTTAGCAAAGATCCAGCAAGAGACTGCAGCCAACGTAATATAAGAGAAAGAGGCCTCCGGAGAAGGGAGTAGCTGAATAAAAGAAGAAGAAGAATCGCCCGAGCCACGCACGCACGGGGGAAGTCTCGCACGAGAGACGTCAATCACTGCCAATTCGTTACATTCTAAGATCGGCGCTACCGTCGAGGATTTCAAGCCGCGACTTCGCGAACGGAGAGAGGTCCTCGAGAAGGGGAGGAAGCGCGAGGAAAAGAGAGAGAGAGAGAGAGAGAGAGAATCGATCGGGGAGAAAGCCTAAGTTTTCGTCGATCCTCAAATCGTCGCTGCGGCGCGCAAGCACGAGCGCGGATACTCGCTCGCGATTCAATTGCAATATTCGACGAAGAACGTAACACGCGCTCTGCACCACACGAATCGTCTGCCCCTCACGAAAGAGAGCGAAAAGAGAACAATATGAAGAAAGACAAACGAAGCAAACGAAGAAGAGACGAGCGAGCCGACGATGGTCGTCGCGGGTGGTGTCCGCGAGCGGCGTCGCACTAAAGAAAAAGAAAAAAAAACTAGAGAAAAACGTAGGGATTTCGCGAGGACAATAAATGCAGACTGTCGGTGCCAAACGTTCTTTCCTTTCTCTCTTGCTTTTCTTCGGGAGCTCGACGCGAGGTCAGCCCTCGTGGCTGAAGTCTCGCGTTCACGCGGCCGCTCGCGGATCCATCGCCCTCGCTCTCGTCCTCGTCGTCGTCGTCGTCGTCGTCGTGTCCCCACGATACGATATACAACAAGCCCCAACACACCGCCCCCGCAACGGAGAGTCGATGCGGACACGCGGCGCGGTAATTGAATACGTGATTTCGGCCAGTTTCGACGGCAGCGAGATTTAGCGGTGCCGGGGCGCTAATCCCGAATTTACAGTGCGAATTACAATTATGCCGCGCCGACTCTCCCGCTATGCCGCGCTCTGCCGTTAGAAGTCGCGCGCGAAGAAGATCCACTGCGCGTCCAAGTGTGTTACTTCTCGACGATCCGGCTGAGGCTCTCTCCCGCCAAGTTCCGTCATTTAACGCACGTTTAAGACGAATTGTAATTTCATACGCGTTCATGCACGTGTCAAATGACGCGAAATGATAGGAAACGATAGAGCGTGGAAAAAGAGATTCAGCCAAGATAACACACTTGGATTTGCGGGGTTGTCACAGAGGCGCGGTCCGACCGTTTTCGCTTTGCCACTTAGGGCTGATTTCCGTTCAATGCCAATTTGCACCTGAGCTTTCCGAGTTCGTAGTCGATAAAGTTACTCGTTGCGCACACGATTCGTCGCGATCGCGACGCTACCCCCAGAGGTAATTTTCACGCTCTTATGTGACAGATTTTCTCCGAGCCTTGCATGCCGCGGTGAGAGGAACGAGGAGAGAGAGAGAGAGAGAGAGAGAGAGAGAGAGAGCACAGAGAGGCATTCTCTCTCACACATTTATTTGTCCGGCTCTGTAGGGACGTTATCTCGGAGCGTGCGCGAGCGGGGGAAGCATTCGTCGGGACGATCATCACGCGAGAAACTCAGCAGAATACAAATAATATATATAATATATTTTTTAATATTCTCGTCATACTCTCTCATTGCGAAACAATGTAGATAAAGATGATATATACGGGCAGTAATGATACGCATAAGACTTTCGTGCACTCTTCATGTAGCCGAGCATTTCGCGAATTATTCCCCGCCTCGCGCATGCAGAGATCGACGTCGGACAGCCCTTATGATTCTTTTCCCGTGTATTCGCGAGCGCGTCATCGATTCCGTCAGAGCAACGCCGAACGTCGTCACGAGATCGCTCGTCTCGTCTCGCGCGTCATCGATCTGTGTCAGGAGGTCCCAACATTACGATACATTATATAATTAAGAGATGTACACCGCGCGCCCAACGATACGATCGGGTACATTCCGGTGCAGACGCCACCGAGAAAAACAAGAGAAGAGAAAAAAAGAAAAGGGCAAAAAAATGCGCACAGAAAAGATCGCGAAGGAAAATCGTTGCAGCGCGCACTCATCAAAAAAAGCGAGGGAAGGAGGGAACTTCGAGAAGCTATGACCCTCTCTCGCCTGACATAAGAGACGGAATAGCCGAAGAGATGAGAAAGAAATTAACTAAATTTTAAATGTTCAGTGGCCAAATAAATTAATTGATACGCACGTAGAACCTAATGATACCGTACCTATTGAGTAAGCCCGACTGACGAGTGTCGGCACGGTTTCGTGCGAATGCATGTGTAATGCTTGCGAGAGTGCGTCTGTGTGTGTTTGCGTGGGGCGTCAATGCGCGCGTGTATACGTGTCTCTGCATGTGTGATGTGTGTGTGTGTGTTGTGCGTGTGCGTGCGTGTATATGTGCATGTGTGTGGATATGCGTGAGTGAGTGAATGTTGCATGCGAGTACGCGCCGTGGGTTAATTCCAAGCCGCAGAAAGGTGAGGAATCCAAGGTAAGAGACGAGCGGAACACTGAGTTTGTATATTGTGCAATTTTTTCAATGTTTCATTATTTGTTACCATGTTCATGATTAATTATAAATAAATAAATATATATATATGTAGCATTTACAATTTTAGGATATATATATATATAAACGGCCGTGAAGCCACAGACGTCTTTTTGATAGCCATATTCGGATACCGTGGTCGTCGTCGCACTCGCGACATCCCCCTCCTGCACCCTCACCTCTCCCCACCCAGAGCCCCCTCACCAACCACCCCGATCTTCTTTTCCGAGAGAGAAAGAGAGAGGGTGAGAGAAAGAGAGAGAGAGAGAGAGAAAGTGAGAGTGAAAGAGAACGAGAGAGAAAGAGAGAGGAGAAAAAGTGAGAGAGAAAGAGAGAGAGAGAAAGAGAATGAAACTGAGAGCGCAAGTGTAGGGTAAGTGTACAAGAGAATAAAAAGAAACGACCGCGCAAAAGATTCGCGAAGTCTCGTCTCTGACCTCGACGGCCTCTCGTTAAATTTCATGTCCGGCCGCTGGAAACGAAAGTAATACCGAAGACAACGGTCATAATCGCGCGGTTCTCTCGTTAGAGCCGGAGTCCACGCGTGTATAATTCGGCCCTCGGACTGCTCGCGTTACCTCCGCAGCTGGATTCCGTATTTAGTCGTGATCGGGTGGTGAGTCGGAAGCGCGAGAAGAGGGACGCCCCGTCCTCTCCCGCGGATAAAAGGTCCTTGTCGTCACGACGAGCGTCTCCCGGTAATTTCCAATCATGGCGCGACCAACGAGCTCTATAGATATATCGCTAAGCGAGCGACGCGAGCGTGTCGTTTCAAAACGAGATCGGAGGCGACCGCGTGCGTGCGTGCGCGCGCGCTCGCGAAATCGCACGGATAATTGAAAAATTTATCGCGCGGGGGAGCGAGAGAGCGAGAGAGAAAGAGAGAGAGAGAGAGAGAGAGAGAGAGAGAGAGGGGTGTGACACAAGCGCGGACACTTCTAATATAAATAAAAAGTAGCTAGACGTTTAGATAGGTAGATGGTTAGCTAAATCGTTAGATAGGCATTTAGATAGGCAGATCAATAGATTGATGAACGGATATAGAGCGTGTGCATGTTTGAGACAGATAGAAAGGGAGCGCGAAAGAGAAAGAGAGAAAATATTATATATATAAATATATAAATATATGTAGGTAGATGGTTATACATAGGTAGAGATGTAAGTACCTAAGAAAACTCTAAGAAACCTTAGAAGAAGCAGTATCGTCGTACGAGATATGATAAGTGAACATAAGTGTTTTATGATACTCGCGTACAAGAGGAACGAAAAATGAATACCGTGGAATAAAGAATAAAAAGAGCGCATAAATAAAATTAAGTTATTAAAAAAAAAAAAGTAAAAAACACTGTACGATTATGATTGTATTATCGTGGTCTAAGGTATTTTCAGTCATGTTGTATAGTAACTGTAAATTACACGACTTTAAAAGAAAGAGAGGATGCGAGAGAGTCGGAGAAAGCGAGAAAGAGAGAACGAGCGAAAGAGAGAGAATGAGAAAGAACGAGAGCGAGAGAGGGAGAGAAAGGAAGAGGATGGCAGGGAGAACGGACATGAAGAGTGCGGCGCGACTCGATTAGCTTTATGTAGAAAAAAAGTAAGAGCATAGAAGCAGAAAGAACAAATCGGAGAAAATGAAGTCGACGGAACAAATGAGCGACATCGGTCGAGTTTTGCGGAATTTGTATAATGAGTGCCCCCGGAGATGTCAACGTAGAATGAACGAATTGCAAATGGAATGAAAGCCAAGAAACAGGTATGAGCCCCCTTTTAATACGGTAATGTTAATAATAAATAACAAATACTTGCGGCAACAGGGAACTGCAACGAGCGTGACGCTAGATAGCTGTAACCACGTAAATTACGAAGCATTTACCACCGTACGAGTGGAAGGAACAGAAATTCGATGCTACTACTACTACTACTACTACTGTAACGATTACGAGAAAAAAGAAGTATTAATTATCGATTTGTCGCAATGCAGAACGTCTGCAATATACCTGCGACAATTCTTCGTACGTTTTTATTGTTAACGTTTCTTCTTAGTTTTTTCTACAGTTAGTCCGCTGCAAAATTTATTTTTCTTTTTCAGCAAAAATTACAACCCCTGCTTTATAACAGAAAAGATATTCCTGTGATAATTCTTCGCATGTTTTCATGTTTACCGTTTCCTTTTAAATTGTTCTGCAGTTAGTCTACGCAAGAATTGTATATTTATTTATCTATTTTCAACGAAAGTGACAATATCGACGAGAAGCAAATCTTATTTAAAGGTCAACCAAGTCATCAATTTTCTTTTTGCGTTCGTATGTACATTGCGGACGTCATGTGTTGCCAAATACGCACTCAAAACGCTACACTGATAACCGAACTGATAGAACTAATATTATTTTTGGGGAATTATCTTCCCCCGTTAGAGAAAAGTTAAATAGGTAATGAAAAAAAAAACGAGTACTACTAATGATACAAGGATTTTATGAGGAAAGGCTTAAAAAGAACAGTAAGAGAGAGAGAGAGAGAGAGAGAGAGAGAGAGATAAAGAAAGCTGAAAAAGCGAGAAATATGATGAAAGTTAGTAATACAAGTGGCAATATGTGAATGAAAGAGTGAATGTATGAGAAAAAATGGTGTGTGTGTGTGTGTGTGTGTGTGTGTGTGTGTGTGTGTGTGTGTGTGTGTGTGTGTGTGTGTGTGAGAGAAAGAAAAAGAGAGAGAATGAGAAAGAGAGAGAGAGAGAGAGAGAGAGGGAGGGAGAGAGAAAGAAGGTGAAAAGGAGAAAAAGAAAGAAAGACAAGACACGCGAGAGCGAAAGATTAATGAGAAAAAACAAAGATGATATAACTTATATTTTTAAAAAGTGACCTTTGGCATTTAAAGACTTGTAAAAATCGTGCAACGAGTTAAATAAACAAACAAAAATCAAGGGCGCAGTGTATTAAGAGGCGTCCGTCCTTCTCCGTGTCTCTATTTCATGTACATGATGCACGTACACATATACACATGCTCAACGCATTCATCGAAATAGTCACGAACAGGTGAACGATCTACGATTCCGAGGCATTTTCTAAATTACCACGGCACTGACGGTGGCCGTACTTCTACGAGCTGTCAGACGTACAACAGACACACGATACATGGGAACACGATACAACGTAGGGCCCGAAATGAAGAATGATTCTCCACAAACAGTCAAATACACACGCACGTAATCGAAGAAAATGGAGGCGAGGACAAAGATGAAAGGGGAGGAAAAATTGAAAGTCGTTTTCGAATAGAAAATATAGAAAAGAGACACACAGTGGCTTGAACGAGAGTCTTCGTATATTTTATTTTTAAGGTTGTTTCCTTAGTGTTGTTTTTTTTTACTCGAAAAAGTAGATAAACGAAAAATTCTAGACTACTTTACTTAGGAACGTAATGCGTATTTATCATTTGTGCGAGTATAAAGGCTTATGTTCATCTGTTAACGTAAGTAAGAGTTTCATAGTGAAATAAGTGTAAGATAAAGGCAAACGTTTCGTGTAATTTTCTAATATGCATAAGTAACCGGAGGCAACATATTATGTGTGTAAACATACTACCAATTATATTATTGACGTTTTTCCGTTGTACAAGATTAATAATAATAACCGAAGATACGATATACGGAGAGATTTTTCTAGCCTTGTAAAACGCATTCCTTTGACAAAAAAGAAAAAAAAAAAAGAACTCGCATCTCTCACAAGACACAGTCGAACAAGCAGACACACACGTATCAACAGACGTAATCTCGGGGCCTAAAACGAGAACAGAAATAATTTCGGTCGATTTTCGAGTCTCGCTCGAGCGATCGCTTCTCATCGTCGCGAATCGTCTCCTCGATCTCGGGTCGAGTTCCCGATAGCCGCGACGATAGGCGCGGCATAACAAAAAGCAGAGATGATGAGAACAAGTGAAAGAGACGTGGTCGATAACGAGCAAGCGCGTCCAGTCGGGGATGAAACTTTCCTCGCGACGAAAGTCGGACATCGAAGGGGAAAACGAAAGGGATACGAGCCAACAGTCACCGCACAGTCACTAACGTCATCCAACAACATAATTTATAGTAGGATAGTATTTTTAGGGATTTTATACAGGCATGCGACGGCGTTCTATGTTTTAGTCGGGATTTACTGTCGATGATTGACGTTTCTTCGTGTACGTACATAAGAGAGTGTGCGCGAACGCGTAACGAGAGGCGGAGTGAATGAAATATTACGAAGTATGATCTTTGCAAGTGAAAGAAAGAGAAATAGAGAGAGAGAGAGAGAGAGATTATGTATGTATGTATGTATGTATGTGTGTGTATTGTTTGTGTATGTGTGTGAAAGGGTTGAAAGGCACGGGAAAGAGAGAGAGAGAGCGCGAGAGCGAAAGGGAGAGGAGGAAAAGTCAGGGACAGATGTACGTAAGCGAAAATCGTTTTTCCAAAATTCTGTACCTCTTTGCGTATACATCTCTATTTGTATAACTGTGAATATTAACATATTATGATAATGTGATTTATTACGTGTGATCCTGAGCGCGGAAAGCCGTGGAAATCTTTAAGGGAGTATTTTATGTACTATGAGATAAAACGAACAAAAAATGCGCGAATGGGAGAGAGAGAGAGAGAGAGAGAGAGAGAGAGAGAGAGAGAGGGAGTGTAAAAGAGAACGAGTGCCAGATGTAATGTTCTTATAATCGCAGCTCTTTTGCCGTTGAAGGATATAACTGTAGTAAGGAAGAATGCGCTTGCGCAGCCGTCGCTCCTTTCTCTCGGCGTTACTTCTTCTTCCTCATCATCTTTCCGTTCTTTTCTTCTTACACTAATTCTATGATCGCTACTTTTTCCACGTGTTTCTTCACTTGCTTCTCTACTTATCACACTTGTCCATCGATATAAATCATGACAACGAAAAGTATCATCAGTAATTATCTCAAGTTATAAAAAAATGAAAGAAAGGAAAGAACCATTTAATATCGAATGATAAGTCGGTTTTCTGCGCGACTTCACGCTCCCCACTCTATGCGGACATCCCGCCGTCGTCACTCCCGAAAAAGACCGCGAAATATGATCGATCACATCTCGTTGAAAGCGAGCGTCGTTCTGCACTTCTTCTTGGGGCTGCTCGCCGGGGGCTTTCCAGTAACTTCCTGCTCTCTTCGAAAAAAACGTCCTGCACTTCACGCAGACATTGTGTCAAGTACACTTGGCTTGCCACGAGTCGTTCGTACGTGACCGCGGGTGCGCTACGTGAGGGAGATGCGTCTACGCGGCTGTGCATTGGGAGACGCTACATACGTGAACTTGAATGTCCGTCTACCGGGTCCTCGTGTCTATCGCGATCGGTACAGATTTTTCTAAATTTTAACGATCTCGGCGGTCGTCGCGCGCCACGATCGAAACGGGTGACTCGACAAGAACGACGGTGAAGAAGAGATTTTGATTGGCTACGCGCGACGCGAAACACAAAGCAAAACGCGAAATATATTGTATACGATTCTAGGAACCTGACTATCCTTCTCGGCGACATAACTACGTAAAAAGAAAGAAAAGAAGCTTGCAAGTGTAAGGAAAAAGTGAAAAATATGGGAGGGATATATATATATATATATGTATATGTGTGTGTGTATATATATATATATATATATATATATATATATATATATATATATATCTTTCCGAAATTGAGAGAGGAATTAACCACTTACCGCGACTTCAAAAAGTCGAGACACGCTGGTTTACTTCAAAGACTCGACGTTTTGTACAAGGAGTAGCGAGCTCGTGTAACGAGCGTAGTAGGTGATCACATGTGATATTTGTATTGGCTATTATATATATATAAATATATATATAATATATATATGTAAATGTAAATTAGAGTACTTTGTTAGGATTACTGCTGTTAGTTAGAAAAAAGGAAAAAAAAACAAGGGGAAAAGGGGTGAGATAATGCAAGAGAGGGAGAGAGAAAAAAGAGACGTCGAGCCCCATCGAAAGTCCCGCCGTGGAACGAGCGAACGCCTCGTGGACGGAAAAGTCGAGGGGTGGGGGAACGGATGGAAATGAGCAACTTATCGCGCGAACACGCCGCTTCCGCTTGAACATTGCCTAATTGCGCTGTGCGCAGGCCTATTTGCTGGTTTCGGAAAAAGAGTAAAGAAGGAAAGAGGGGAGAAAAAAAATGCACGTTTCGTAGAGTCGTACGGAGAAGAGTGAGTGCAGCTAGGTACAACGAGAAGAGGAAGGAACGCGTAGTAGGAAGGAAAATGCGAGGTTGAGAGGGAAGCTCAGCGCGAGCATGGCTCGTGGTTCAAGTTTTCGAATTTTCCGCTGGCCCGCGGCTATAAACATTCGTTCCAGTTAAGTGAATTGATTCTTTGGGGATTAAGCGCGCGTTAACTGATTTTTCGTCTCTTCCCGTAGGAAGGCGGGTGGGGAAAAAAAAGAATGAAAGGAATAAAAAGTTGGCAGTTGAATTCCGATTAACTTGAATTCGTGTTTATGGGGGG